TTATTTGTTTACTCGGCATTGTTGTGTTCCACAACAATGCCGATTTTGTTTATAGTTGACATTGTTGATGACGTCATTTTTTGACGACAACGACTAATCACAAATTTTTATAGTAAAAAAATAGAGAAGTGTTGCAAGGTGAGTCATATTATCTAGTATGTAAATTTGTTAAGGTGGTTTTGACTAAAATGGAAAACATCTCTGATTGTTTTGGTTTCATAAGAGTAACGTATAGATACTGGGGGTAGATACATATAAAGGTGAATTGCAAATAGTGAATATGTATAAATAGATTCGATTCTATACAAGTACGTGTGAGATCTTTCGATTCCAAAATAAATTAAAACCATCTGTACGAGGTTAGGTCTTGCATGTTAAGCTATAGTCGTTAAGAGTTATTCAGTGTAATTAGCCGCACAAACAACAGAACTAAACATGAAGGCCAATTTCATCCATTACAGTTTCGAAACCGAGCGTTTTGTTCTATGAGTTTAGACTGTACGACCCCATTTCGCCGAAACTTCAATAGTTTCGCGCCAGGGTGAACATAGGCAATATCGTGTTCCATAATTCTTTCCGATGAGACTAGAGATATAAAACTACTTTGTGCTGTCAACACAACTTTTTATGCTTGCTTTTCACTGTATTAAACACGTTCAACTCGCACTAATTAGGCCTAATGAATTTGTATGTTTCGTCCTTCACAAGTTGCATGTAGCCATGTATACAGCTAATATATTCAACTGTTAAAGTGCACTCATGCTATTCAGTGGCGGCACATCAACAAATACTGAAGGGCAGAAATAATAAATGCTTCTCATTTACTTATAAATTGTTGTAACATAGTGTACTAGGGGCCGTAAGGCATAATTCGTGACAAAGAAGAGTGAAAATCTCAGTTCAGACTACACAGTTTCCAACTTTGCTTTTCTGTGGTTTTGCACTCCTCGTTGGGAAATATTTCCAAGTCCTACTCGCTAAACCAAAGCATTTGAATCATTGTTTTTGTTTTTATTCTTGTCTCTGCAGCAGTAAATACTAAAAACGATGTCTGATAACAGGAATTTAACGTCAAGTAAAAAATAATTCGTTGTTTCTTTCTTACAGTGCATTAATATGCATGTGTTAGTTAGTATGTTAAGAAAAGGTAAACTTTTCGCTTATATTGTATGGGAAATTTGCAAGCAAAATTTGTGCGACGTATGAAATGAGCAATTTAATTATTTTAATAAAATAAAAATCTGGGAGAGAAACGCGTAGGTACTTCAACTAGAATTGCATCTACAATAAAACGAAAAAGACCAAAGAGATATTTAAAATCGCAAAGAACACATTTGGAGAACATGTGTTAAAATGTATGGGAGCGGTTTGACTCAAAAATATTTCTTGAGTTTTACTGACAGTAGTTCGATGGTTCGAATCTCATCTGGCGCTGCCTTTGTCGCATTGCACCACCAGAGCTCATGCCACAGGAAGCCTGTCTCGTATCTGACTCGCTGTGCGGCACCTTAAAGTTACGGACCCCTCAGCCACAACAAATATCGACTTCTCGTAACCCCGTAATTCATGTGAGCTGGACAGTATCGAAATTAAAACCCTTTAAAGTTCAGTGGTACCTACGAGTATTCTTACCACATGCTTTATACATGCTACAACACCTTCATTTTCCCCACAGACTGTATTTATGGGTTTTGTATATTTCTCAGTATAAATAGTGCTTATTACCTTAAACAGCGTGAACAAACTGATCTTTGTAATGGCGAAAATTTTTGGTTTCTTTGACTGCGCGGCTGAATGTGATCGAATGAATGTGAACCCAGCAACATAAAAATTAATGATAGTTCATGTGATCCTCCAACCAGAACGAAAATTGCCTTTAACGTTAATGTAAAAAATGTGATTAAATCATGATTAGTTATAAAATGTTGGCCTGGGGCCCAAAATAGTGCTGCTTAGTCCGGAATCTCCATAAATAATTAAAGTACACCTACGGCCGTGGTTACATCTCGGTAGAATCCTGACTGAACTGTTGACAAGAGTGCCTCCGCGCTCAAGTAAAATAAAATGCTTCTGATGCCAGCGATCGATCCCTGGCTCTTCGGTCCGCAGCTAGATTCCGTGACCAATGAACGTTACTCAGCTGTGTGCATCTCGTACTAATTAATTCAATCATTACGCCTGTCGTCAAGGGACTGTCGCAGACGTGGGATCTGTTAGCGTTGTGGCGACGACCACAGAGTCCCAGTGCGAAAACGAAGCACTTCAAAGCGAAACACCACTGTCACACCTAATGTCGCAACGCCGACTTCAGTTCCAAATCAGGCGAAGAGGAGACGCCATGGGACGGGATATACACAAACCAACACCGATTGTCCACATTTAGCGTACATGAGCTTAGTGAAAGCACAAGATAAGACAATTGAACATCGACGTCGAGTGTCGCGACGCCTGTCATCGCAAAACGGATAAGATAATTACTAAAAAATCTGTAGATTGAATTAGGGTACAGTTTCGCCACCGTCGATTTTACTCAGAAATACGAATGCTTGGCACTGGAAGCTTTAAGTGAGGCTTTAAATTGCACAGTGCAGAGTGAGATTTGAGGTTCTCACGGCTGCAAGAACGAAGACAACTGTCTTCTGGGATGTTGCGCAAAGTAATCTAGTAGTGGTTTACCGACGTTTCAGAGGCACTTACAGCCTCCATCATTAGGGCGATTCGAGTATAGGGGTGAACTATTCTAACTTAGGTTTAACATGGTTTTACTGAGTCACTCGAAAAATAGTTCCTTGCAACAGGCCTTCCCTTTCAATTTACTGTGCAGTCACATGATTGAACGCTAAATGATAAATTGTCATTAAATAATTTGTGAATGAACGAACAAGTTTATGTCAGTGTGTCTTCGTGAACAGGAACTTGGAGAATACCTTTTATTTCCCACCATTAAGTACTGTTTCCCCACCCCACCCGGAGCCACAGTTCAGCGCTACATACCGGAAATGTCGCTTGTCAACCCCACGCACCGGAAACGTCAACTTCTCTGTGCACCGCAAAATTCCCAACATACACAAAGGCCTCTTTAATTTTCTTTTGTTACAAGTTCAGTTTCAGTAGGCCGCTAACCAGCACTTTTTTGAGTGCCTTTACAGTTCCATATAAAAAGTTATACCGGTAATATGATTTACCGGTATGTGTACGTTTATGTAACATGAACTCGATACGATAGGCCTCTAGTGACAAGCTTAGTTTTCTTTACGAAACAAACTTTCTTGGCTCGAATCTAGTTGGGGAGCACTTTTTTGCATATACTCGTTATTGACATCAGAAGAATTTAATGTGTAGATTACATTGAACTGATAGATTTTGAGTTGCAGATTAAAAATACTGTCACTTTCATGTCGTAAAATACAAATCTTACAGTTTACTTTTTATTAATTTCACTCGCTTCTCAAAACTTACTATTTAGATTCACGCTGATGACAACTTCAGAATTATAACTATTATTCCAGTTTTAGAGTTTTACGATGGTTCCAGAAACTTATTCGTCTGTTGTTTCCATGACAAAGTGTGGTTAATATTTTTCGGCATTTAGCAACTACCAATCGTCTTCGACAGGGGGGTTGTGCTAGCTCAAATATGTGTTTTGAGTTGTTATGGCCAGAGGGGACACAGTTTCGACAATTTCTGCAGACAGGAGTGTGAGAAGTGACCTCTAGTTCAATAGAACAAGAGGTCTGTGTTACGGCAGATATTTTTTGGATTTGCAATAAAGAAATGTGAGACTGAGTATTGTATCCACAAAAGTGACTGAGCGACTGCTGGTTTCTGAGGAAGGACTCGGCTCCATGGCGTAAGAAAGTATCCACAAAAGCGTCTTATCAGTGTAATATATTGTCTAAATAAAAGCAATTATACTCTGAAACTGGTGAAAATTGTAACTGTAATGAAATAAACAAGTTCAGGGTCTTTTATATGTGTGGGCTTGTGAGATTTTGATTAAGGGCTATTAATAACAATTATTGTAGTTTTGAGGACCAATTTATTATCGCGTTACAATGACGGTGTTTTGAACTATTTAATCTAAATCATGCTTATACACGATCTAAGCTTTATTTCAGCTAGTTACGATGATACAACTTCAAACATGTTTCAGACTATGTACAAAGTTGTGAAAGGTCAAGAATTCAGTACCTGTGAAGAAATAAATACACAGGAACTTCATAGAAATACGGCATTCAGTATTGTTATTGACACTGAGAGTAAAAGGGGGAACAATTTAATTCAGAAACGTAAGATACGTATAAAATTGAGTCTCCATAATAACTGATAAAACCGTAAGACGATAAAGTTCTTTGTAGCCTCTAAGAGTTTTTATTGTACTGTCAAATGAGGGTGAACTAATATTAAGATTTTATTGAGCCCACATATGTAACGGCAGTGCATTGAGCTTTCTGATTCGTTTTGTCTAGTTTTTCGATATGGCAGAAGAGTGTTTTGGTGCAGCTGTGAAGCTGGAAACGTGTAGTAATAATATTATATTGTTTTGCTCCAAAAACGGATTAGAGATATCAGTCATTGACACCATAAAGTAAAGACATAATTATACAGTGCGTCAATAAACATATGTGCTGTATAATGTATCTCCGAAAATTTGAAGAGAAGTTTAACTTTCGAAATTTGGTTTGGTATTGGGCACACGATGGTTCGCTTCCAATTTTCGGCCAGGGTATGCATTAATTTGTGTTCGTCCTTCAAACGTATATGCAAGAATGTATTTTCAGGATTTATTCAGAATCATGATGCCATTCTAACAAATAACTTTTTAGATATAACCTGACGTGTATATCCGCTTCCTGCCAACACACATTTTTGGAGGACGCTTGTAACCGCATGATGTAACTTATCAGGCTTATATTATCCACATCTCCTGAATCTGGTGAATGAAAATAATAGTTCCTTTAAGTCAAATAGGATTCCTTTCTGTCACGCGAAAATTTAATCGCACAGATTAATGCAATCAATGTCGTTATCCAGTTACTGTTTAGAAATTTGTCTCAGTGGTCTGAGAAAAACCACGAGAACACACCCCACATTTAACGTTTTCATTCATTTAATTCTGATGCAGTTTTCGCATCGTTCTTTACAACACGGATACGAGTGCACAGTTTATTTTTAAACTTGATTTCCGAGCAATCTGTTTTTGTTGTTTCATTTACTACAACAGAACTGCACCGCCTATGAACAGATTCAAGAAGACGTAATCGATTGGTGTATCTCTGTGACGCGCTTGGAAATAACAAATTGCGATTGGTAGGAGTGACATCTATCGGAGAGGAGACATATTACCTTGACCTTGACAGCCCTTCGGTTAGTTCTTCGTCTGGAGGGAGTCAGCATGTAGCCTACTGTGTGTTGGTCCTATTTAATATTGCGTGTATTTTAAGGGAGGAATGCAATATCGTAAGTTTCCTGTTCTGTTTGATAAGTAAATATTTATTTGCATGTGTCACTATTAAACGCGTTCGGAAAAGCCGGAATTATTTTAGTTGATGAGTTGCTCTAATCGTAATTCGTTTTCTTATGCTACGTAAAATAGCTCAGAATCTTACTACATTTTCTCGAACACCGGTGGTGTATAACATAGTTTAAAGTAAACGTAATCTAACGGGAGAATTCTTGATGCGAATAAAGTATATAGGCAGAGAGGCTTATAATGAAAATGTTGTGAACATTTCAAATGGTCATGTTGTTACCGTGGCCCCACGTAGATTTTCCTGTGTACACACACACATATTTGTTTTTATAATTATACATAATCATCACAAAATAAAACGCATAAACTGATTTATGGCGCCAAACACACTAACCAATGTGGCAGAACGCTTTGCTAAAAGCCTGAACCACAAGGCCGGGCTAACGAGCTGCAAGTAGCTCGCATCAGAGTCGCGCTCTGTCCACCTGCTCCTGCTGCTTCTGGTGTGCGTTAAAATGGGGAGTTCGTGGAGCCTTTTCTGTTGTGTCTAACGAGAATTGACAGTTTTAATACGTTACTGCAATCATAATCCGAGAAATGATGCGCTGGCGGAAGTTAAATTATTATGTTCCTCAATAAAGTCCCTTAACTGGGAAATAAACTGACTTCAACAAAAATAAAAGACATAGACGAATGTGGTCATCTAGTTCCAGGGCCATATTTATATTCATACTGTGGACGTTTTAAATGTTGGAACATTGAAGAAAGACGAATGATGGTGTAAAATTGTGTGTAATTATAAAAGTTTTGAATCATATTAATATTTTAATTGTTTAATAAACATTACGTAAAAAATCTTATGTATATCTCTAAACAAACCAAGAATAAGTTTACAGTTAATAAATCGATTTATTACTTATATTTATTACTTGAATGTGCCCTTCAAGAACTGAAACTTAATATAATTGGACAAGTAATGTTTCGTTCTAAAATTGCCGGAAGCATCTAATAATATCTGCTATGCACTTCTCATTACAAAAAAGTAAATCTAATGATAGGGCTTAACAGGAATTTTGGGCAGAACTCATAAAGAAGAAACCTCCACACTCTTTGATGTTAACATTATGTTTAGGTAATGTAAATTTACAATCCAGCGATAAAATGTAATACAGCTCATGGAATTAGCTTGCTGGGCTTGTAAGTTGTCGGTAATAGGTTCGAATCCTGCTGAGTGAGAGAGCTCTTTATTGTTACCGACTACCCCTAATATTATTATCATTATCATCAAACCTAGTTCTTTGGGGCAGTGTTCTTCTTGAGAATCTTATAGCATGCTCAGCTGTTAAGAAATTATCAGTCTTTTATAGAACCCGAAAGTTGGTTACCGTATTTACAAGAGACCATCCAGTCTCTAACGTGAAAAGTTTTTAAATTCCTTTCTTGTAACTTAAGAAAGTTCTATATTCTGATTAAACTGCGTCAAATTTGTCAGGTGTTACCTTAAAGATTCGCATTAATATTAGTTTTTTTAATTGTATACTTTAAATAATAGTTTATAAGAAACTTGTAGTAAAGTTTATATATCTACGTTCATGAGGAATATTCTACATTTTTAACTCTCTTTGTCAATTAGTTATTGCTGTCAGGTTGAAATCTGAACGAAAATTTTGTAATGCAGTTATTTTATTTTACATTCTACTAAAACATAACCTCAAAGGAGTTTTTTTCCCCCAAATCTGTTGCATATTATTTATCGAGTGTTACTCCTACGTGACACATTTGTGCGTCCGCAATGTTATTGCTGATTGTAGGTACACGGCGGATTGGTCCACATGCAATTTGTCTAAATGTTAAATGCAGTAAAAATTGGCCAGTTTGTCCAAACGTTGAGAAGAGGAACACATACACACGTACACGAAGCACGTTGATCTCACAAGCCTCTATTTTCTCTTTAGTTAAGCAGGAAATGAGCTCTAAAATGTAAAATAAAAAACCAGACAGGAGGCTACAAGCTAAATATACTTCATACGGAATTTTAAATTCGTGTGTTATTTATGTGAGTGATGGAATTCTGTGCGTGAAATGGGTTTCTGTTAATATTATTGGACAATTTAAAAATGTTTGTGTAATCCGACGACCTTTTATGCTGTGAAGACAAACTTCAAAATTTTAAAGAATTCTGTCACAGAATCAGTGGACAGGTGTTGCAATAACGCGTTTAAAATATGCAGTGTGTGTTTATTTTGTGACTGAATCGATTTAATAATATTTGCGATTAACGTTTTAAAGTGAACAACTTGAGTAGAGACCAAAATATTGACAGCTTCGATCCAGATGCAAATGGGAGGAGCAACGTGCAAGGTAAGTAGTACTAAATATTGTTGTCTGAACTTAGAAGTGTAGCTTAATAGCTTATTCTGCCTGGTTAACTTTCTGTTATCATAATGGATATTAATTGGAGCTTAAATTGATACGTGGTTCGTTCCTTTGTGCTCACTGACTTGTTAGTAATAATGAACATAAGGCAAAATATACTTTTTAAGACAATAGTCGCTTAGTTGTCTTCAAACTACAGTAGAATTTCCGATTATCCGGTGTCGGTTTAACCAGATTGCAGACTAACTAGGGTCTATCTGGTTTAGAAGAAAATTCAAAATGAATTTAGAAAATCTGTTATAAAAATTAGAACGTGTAAAAATAAATGAGTAAATACAACAATGGCACATTATTTGTTGTGTTTAAAATAAATTGTTGCTAAAACTTCGAGTTCACGACAATAGACCGCTATTACTACACGTTGGTGTTTTTTTTAATTTTTACGTACTGCATTAAATTGTATATAAAATCCTTTCTGTTATTATTAAATACGTTATTAGGACGAGAAACCAATTTTCACATCTGCACAAAGCAACTGAGTTTTGTGTCTTTTAATCCTTACGCTATTAAGCAGCAGACAGAAAGACAAAAGACTGTGAACTGAACCGTAGCAATTATTCCCCTAATTGAATTTGCTCCTGACACACTTAATAGAATTTTCATTTATTATTGTCGTTCTCTGTAATTGAACATTCTCACATTTTCGCATGATTATCAGCTTTCTACATCATGAGTCTGCCCTGCATTCTAGTAATGGGATTTAAACATCTACCTTTATTCAGATTCTCCTGTGATTATTTCTAAACGGTTTAAACATAACTTATATTAAACACTTTTTTATTTGAGTGTGCATCTTGGTACCGCCCTATAATAAACGCTGATACTGAGACAAAGTTCCCGTTGTATTCACTGCACACATCCTATTTACGCCTGCATCTGCTTGTTTAGATAACACGCTTAGTAATTGTGCTTAAAGTTTTGCCGAACATTTACGGCGAAATATAGCACGAGGCAGACGTTATATTTCCCGCAAAACACAGGCCTGAAAATGAGAATGACGTAATAAGAAAAGTTCAGCTGACGTCAATTAATGTCTTAGTTAAGGATCTTGAAACTCGGTATTTTTGTTACGTGTTGTAGGGCAACAGGAGGCTGTATTTTGTTGGCCAAGGACGGCTTTGGTTAATTCGGTGATGAACCTTCGGGTACGTAGTTACTTAGTTGTAGGGCTGTGGATGTTCATCAAGTGTGTTTGCGTGTAATGGTAACGGTTTATATATGTTTTCGGTGGGTATCTGAGTTTCGCACTATTCTACATGAGCTTTTTGTAGTTTTCCCCACTTTGTCCAAACAAATGCTGATGTAGTACAATAAAATAGGCTGCGACTGCTCGATTTATATATTTTTTCATACTCAGAATCTGTGATCAGATTGCAGTGATGAGGTACAAAGTTTTCGACCTCTGGAACACGGAATTTCGCTTGAGGCACAAATGATGAATCCTAAAATGATATTCCTGTGATGCACAATTCAGTACGGCAATTATATAATTATGTTTGGTGTTTCAAGTAGAATCTGATCATTAGCATTTATTTACTAGTGACTATCTGGCCTTTGGAAATTGTTATTCCTGAAGGATTTGCCATCAACTGCTGTTGACAAAATTAAGGGCATACTGAAAATTGGGGGTTACAGGAATGGCGGTTGGTCTTAACACTCGTCACATCCCAACTAAGTTGCCTTTTTGCTCATTGAACACAAGGTTAGAAAGCTATACTCCTTCGAATACACAGCTATGCAAACGTGTTCTTCGCGACACATCACTTAGGCCACTGTTGTACTAATCCAACACAGTACCATTATTTCGCTGTTTTTTCCAACAATGGCCTTAGATCATTATTTCACTAATGTTGCAACCGGTGCAAATTCAGGGGTATCAAGACCTGGTGGCCAAGGCAAGGGACGGGTGGTCCGTGGGGCAAAGCCCCTGGAGCAGCAATCACCGAGGAACAGTCCCCAATGAAACAGTTATCTTGGGAAATGGCGTAGGTGGTAAACCCCAGAGGTTAAATAATCCTAATTTCAGAATAGGTGTTGGTAGCATTATTTGAAGGTGCCACGAAGGGTCCTTCATCCCTGAAAGCGATCTAATCTTGTAAGTGGCAAAACCCTTCGGTAGCATTCTGGATCCTCCTGAGGTCTGGATGATCTAACGTTAGATGGTAGAGGCTCGAGGGTGTCCAAAACAGTGAAGGCAAGGCCGAGGGGCCAATGCCGCTGAGGGCAAAGCACCACAGAGAGACAGCTAGAGGGGACAAAACCTGCGGGCAACAGTGGAGGTCCAACCCAAACTACTCGAATATGTGTTTCCAAAGCCCTGATAGGCTAGGCATATGATAGAAAGCCCACCGGAGGGGGCAGAGCTCCAGGTATAGGAAGCGCAGGGTACCAGGTTCCAAAGAAAGGCGTGAAATAACATCGAGTCGGTGTACAGACAGCACAGCTTAATTATATCTGACATATCTACATGTTCATACCACAGCATCTGAATGGAACGTTATGTAGACTCTGACGACAAACGGGGAATTGAATTTGGTGCTTCTACAAATGTTCTACTGAATTTCCATGTCATGCCATACACGTACTCGACACTATACACAGAGACAAATAAAGGACATTCTATAAACTAGTTCACAAACAGCGTATCATTTTCAGAAATACAAACACCGAACCATAATCATAGATATCTCGCTGTTCATTGTTTACAGCATGCATGAATGAAGAACTAACCTGCAATTTCTGTTTTGAAACTGAACATTTTGTGCCTGAATACTGAAATATTCACACCACAGCCTACAGATATTTGGGGTGTTCATAACTGTAGATCAAAATATGTTGTGATACAACTAATACATTTTAAACATAAGCACATAGTTTAATTTCATGTTTTTGTTTTTAACTGTCCATTGCTGGGATGTTTATGCGTTTGGGGCAGGCCAGGAACACCGAGGCTGCTTAAATACCACATAACTGGCACTTACCTTGGGTTATTGAGACGGGTCGGGGCAACACCTTGCTGTCTGATGGTGTGATGAGGCTTTGACACTTGCTACTATCACACTGGATACGATGCAGTGTTGGAAGGGGCGCGGCGCGGTGAGGTGCTGGAAAATCCATACCTCGTACCCACCTCTCCAGACGGCCGTGTGTGCGCCGACGCCAATCGATCGTGGCTGCCCTGAATGAGACACACTGTTGGTTCCCTGGATCTGTTCACGATGTGAGGTCAGGTCATCCTGTTCTAAGGGTTAACCTTCGGTGTTTTGTAACCGCTTTCCCGACAATCATCTCAACCTCCTGCTGGACCGAGTGCTTATGAATGGGTTTCTGTAACGTGCAGAGATGAACACTTTCACGAGAAGTTGCCTCACGTCACAGTCTGGTGACATTAGTGTTGTTGTCCCGCGAGGCAATGTTTATTGTTTTGTTAACTTCGCCCATTAGAAATTATTATAACAAATGCCTTTCTTTTATAGCTAAAGTTTTTGTAGAACCGTTACTTCGCAAACAAAATTATTTCTTATATTAAAGAGCAGAGCGCTCCTTTCGGGGGGTTGGTCAAGTTTTTAAAACGCAACCAACCAACCAACCCCTCCGAATCCGGGGATTGCATTTTAAAATTTTTAGTAAGACACTAAACTAACCTCCTCTTCGGGGCGGTTAGTTTAGTGTCTCATTCAAGTGTTTTAACCCTTGAGTAAGAAACTAAACTACCCTCCCGAATGGGGGTTAAAACATTTGACCAACCCCCCCCGAAGGGGGGGGGGGTTGGTCAAGTGTTTAAAACGCCAACAGTTCTTATTCAGTCAACGTTTTACGTCCAGCCCCACCCTTGCAAATCTTCGTCTTAAAATCGATCATAAAGTCAGTTCTCATAATAGTTTTCGTAATCGTAATATATCGAATGAGTATCAGTTTACCTTCTTGGAGTTGTTGGAGTTGGTACTTCAAATACTTGATAACGTCTTCTTTCACTTTTCTGATGTTTCAGGCCAACTGTCAGTCAATATCCAAGAATGCGATGTGCTCTCTTCTGGAGCAGTGAAAATGCGACTGGCTTGGTAGTTGTTGTGAACCGTTATATTTGTTTACTCGGCATTGTTATATTGTACTCGGCATTGTTGTATTCCACAACAATGCCGAGTAAACAAATATTTGTTGACGACGTCGTTTTTTGACGACAAATTGGTTGACGAAAACGACTAATCAGAAATTTTTATAGTAGATATAAACTGATTAATACATTTCACATTCATACGCCTTTGATGTTTAATGTTATTATTAACAATTATTTAATATATAATAAGTATTAATTCGCATGTAGTTACAAGAATTAGGCAAGGTTCATTAGAGAAGTTTTATTAATTCAGCAGTTTATTTTAATGTAATCTTTTTCAAAGAACAGTTACTTAGCAAGTATTAATAACTTACGGCATTGAGGTTAAATACAGTCGTGGAAGGCTTTGTCTGTCAGTTGCATAGCAACTTGTATGACAGGTAGGTAGTTGGGTTACGGCAGTTAGCAGCTCCAATAAGAACGCTGTTACATCCATTAGGATATAATTAAATGCAGCAGGAAGGTATAGTGACGCCGTGTCAGGTAACATTATTGGATTTTCCGTGGGTTTTTGGTAACTACAGGAGCTGTAGATCACGCCCTGCTCCTTACTTTCCAAGTAGACCGCCCCCGAAACAACCTGAATCTCTAATATACAAACAATATCAGCATAAAGAAGCTCAGCTTACTTGGCGCAAATTGCAGAAAGTATTCCCGAAAATGTTACTTGAAATTTCACTTTTGCACATTCTATAAATGATTAAGTTAATCAATGTCCTTCGGCCTCAAATTCAGGAGATACGAGTCCAAGTGTTTGTCCAGAAACTAGGTGGTTTTTCACAGTTCTCATAACGCGGTCATTTGTAAAGTGTCGCTAAATAGATCAATGAAACAGATTAACCCTTTAAAGCCCAGTGGTAAATACATGTATCACAAGCTATAATACTAGTTAGTATTCACGGATTACCTATAATTCTCAGTGTGAAGAGCGATTATTTCCTTAAACAGAATTAAGAAGTTGGTCTTTTTAAAGGGGACGTGTTTCCTTTGCGATACGAACTGCAGTCTTAATTATTTAGACGAGCTTCGGCCTCAAAGGGTAAAGTTGACGAGAAGCATGGCGCCCCTTTGTGAGAACGCCGGTATTTTGTGTTTGAATATTCATGTACATCCACTTAAGTTACTGAACCTGTAAATATCGAGGCAATTGAGTGTACAGACAATTTAAGTGGTATGAAGGTGGGCCCTACAGAATGATGTTTTAGGATCGGATTCAATATATCTGACTTGGCACAGAAATCAGTGGCAAGGTCTTCTGAATACGGTAATAAAACTTCGGGCATCAAAAAAGGCAATAAAGTTCTTTACCAGCTTGAAGATTATCGTTTTACCGACTGTTTTCAATACTTTGAGTTAATTACGATCACGCAACATGGCATTGAGACGCATGGGGGAGTGGAGACAACTTCACACATTCTTAATGTCGGTACTAGATGGAAAGTGAATTGTCAGTTTCTGCCGCTCTACATCCTGGGAAAATGCCCTCAGTATCCATTGAATAAGCCTCAAAGCCGGTTTGGAAGCTGTGGCGAAGAAACAAATCTCTGTCCCTGCCGGGAATTAAACCCCATTCGTCCATCCATAACCAAAACACTGTACTGAGTACGGCTACAACGTAAGTTTCTGTTTTCCAATTTTTTTTTTCGTTCTGAAGAAAAGAAATCAACTGAACTAATTCCCCGACTGAATACACTTTAAATATATTGCGAATGGCAGATGACACTACACTGCCAGTGTTACCAACCACCTCTGTGGTTAATAGCGTTGGGTAGCATTCTTTCAGACACCCACACACCATGTGGATACTTTCAGCATTGTTTCACGTTGGGCACTGAGGAGTGATTGTAATTGAATCTGAGAAAGTTTCGTTACCCGCTTTGCAGGAGATGCTATTTTTGGATGATGACTACGTCATTGCATGCGAGATGGTACCTGATCTGGTTGCAGTATAAACTGGAGGTTTTCATTTATTTCGGAACTCTAGCAGACGTCAATAAAACTGGTCACGCAAGAGAAAAGAAGACTTTCACGGAAGGCACCGCTGTCTGAAGGTGAGTGGGACGATCCCAGTTCAAACATTTAATAAATTAAATGTATATTTGTAATTGCGTCTTTTAAAATGTCTTGTTAGTTTTTTACTTAATTAAAACACCTTTTCATCTGGGATGACTATGCCTGAATGATGTTATGATTGTGTAAAGAAGTGGTCGTTGCTTATTTTAAAGTTCTTTCAACCATTTCCCTAGAGGGAGGTAAACCATTAAATCTCTCAACTAGAACCGAGGACTACTAGAAGGAAATTAATTAGAAAGTCATTTAAAATTTACCAGGTTCTTCATTTAATTTGGCCCGACCGATCAACATTAGCAAATTTTGTAAGTAATACAGCTTACAACTTGCTACAAGTCCTTTTTTGTGACAGTCTATGAATGAATTACTTTCGAAAATAACAGTATCCACTTTGATTTATTTATAATTTTAACATTTTTAATAGATAACTCTTAAGTGTGTGTTTATATAAGTCGCTATATACTGAAAGAAGCGGATTCTATTCCCGGTATCGCAGGGATTTATTTTTACGTTACCACGTCTTAACCTGCTGTGGATCCCACACACCTCTGCACATTTGTCTTCTGAAAAGATATTGGAGTCCAAATATAATGTTTATTTACGGAGATATTTTTGCCACACATTTTAACATAACAATACATATTTTATGGCTGTAATGAACTAACTTATTAGATTTAATAATATTTCGGTATAAAAACGTTCATTTGGCATGATGAGGACAAATGACAATTTTTTTTACAAAAAACAAGGCTTTTGTCCTGCCATTCATTGACGATAGTCAGTGGTAGTTAAAATGCAACACAAAGTTAACGCTATACGACGTGTTTCGTTTGGACTTCGTCAATAAATCGTCATGAAACAGTTTTCTTTCCACGTCTAATGAGTTAGAGGAGCAGATTAATTCTCGAATAGATTTGTTTGACGGTGTGTGAGAGAGATTTCGGCTTCTGGTTTGTAGCTTTCGGACACTTGGGACGTCACATCCGGCCTGTACGTGTAATCATTGAGGTCGTAATTTAACGTCTGTAAATCCTCCTGATTCTACTTGCAGTGTGTATGTCAGGTCGTTTGCTTTGGATGTTTGTTCTTTAACATCCGGCAGTGCACTGCAGACGTATAAATAGCAGCCGCAGTGGTCGCCATTCTCTTATTTATCGCTGTCATAGTGATACTGCAAATAGGCTACTGCTGAAGTCGTTGTGTAACAAACAACGAATGCGATGGTGCTGATCTTCTGGGTTTTGGCACCGTGTAGTCAGGACTTAAGCCCGGATGATGGAGATAGTATGTTTCTCCGAAACGTTGGCATCTAACAACGAGTCTGCATGGCGCCAACACCTGACATATGCATCAGTGTTCAGTGTTATGAAGCTCCTGTTTAATTTTCTGCATCCTCCTGTTACTTGCCCTCTCCAAGGACCAGGTATTCGAGTATTCTGCCCAGCTTCCTATTCTGTATTCTCACTATGGACTGGAGCTTAAGTTTCAAATCTGCACAGAAAAATATAAATTATATTAAAATGTTGACCGATTTTTTGTATTACCTCCTGGACGTTAAAAAGAAATATGTGACTTTTCTTCTACACCTGTGATATTGCCAGCATTGAAAATATTATTGTAGCAGTGTTGTGCGTTAGTAAAAACGTGTAGCCTTGAGTTAGGATACCTTTTGTTATGTTAGTTACATATAATAACGCAAGATAATATATCTTTAGCTAATACCACCAGGTGGATCTGCTTCTGTCTTCATGCAGAATGAAGCTGTTCTTTTGGTCTGTTATGGGGCTAATCCCAATCAATGGTCAATTAAAAATTCTTATCAGAACAAACCTTTATTTAGTGACACAGCAAAATACACGTCAGTCGTTTGATATATATGCATTAAAAATCTTACAAATCTCTTACAAAGATTCATTGTTCCCAGAAAATTAAATTTTAGCTTTCAAACCTGACTTGAAAATGTGGTCTATGAATCCCTCTTACTATCCAAACTTTTCAAAAATTCAGATTGCAAGTGGCAGAATACGACTAATTTTAATTACATTTATTCATTGACACCTATATTTTATTATTATTTGTAACATTTAAATTCTTTTATTCTCTAAAATACATTTCATCATTAAAATGGACATTCTACAGACTCAGTTTTAATGAATGGTAGGAGGGTCACAAAATTGTAATTAATCGAGACCATCTATGAATAATTTATATCTTTCCTATGATGGAAACAACATTTCCATCAACAAAACCATGTCATATTTAATTTACTTACGCCTATTGGTGTCATTGAATGTTCAAACACAGAAGTAGTGATATATACAATAAATGGCATTTCCAGTCTTAAAGTATTGAACATTTGAACATGAATCAAACTGTACTGTCATATTCTGTTTACAAAAATAGAGATTTACTTTAACTACTGTGGTATGGATTAAAAGTAACTTGAGGTTCATAAAATAAATAAAAACTTATGATGGAAGGAATATGTATATATAAACCATCATGATGAGTATTGAAATTGAGATTAAATTGTGCGTTCATGTTTGTCGAATGATTAATTACAGCATTCGAAGGCAGAAATAAATGCAGTTCAGTTTCATTCTTAATAGTCATTTCATCATTTTGGACCTTAATGACTCATTTAAAATGAAATGGCAGTTTGATTCCATCACAAGAATTAAATGTCAGTAATAGAAACAAATATAGCATCTTGATGTATTACTTCCAATTAATTTGCCTTTTCAACAACTTTCATATCAACTTTATTTTGTATTTTCCCATACCAGTTTATGGCTTTAAATTAGTTCACTGCAAACTCCTTTTGATTTCATACATAAACAAAAACCCATGTATCCTAAATAAGTGAATAAGAACATTTGAGCAAAGTATATGCCATGTGTACCTTACTTCGATATTTGGACGACCCGTTCTTCAAAGTGCCTGAGCACTGCGGGTCCCAACTTTTCGTTGGTTTTGTTCTATATACATTCGGTAGGACTCCTTGGACGAGGGATCGGCCCGTTGCAAGGCCAACACAGCACAACACAGAAGAACATCCATGGCTTGAATGGGATTCGAACCCACGGTCCCAGCGACCTAGCGGCACAAGGCCCACGCTTTCAAAACTGATTTGATTGTGGGTCTTCTGCTTCTTAATAATGCGTATTATTTTCTGATTGAGTTAGATACAATTTATTAGTTATCGTAATTGTTGTAAGTGACGAATCTCATGCACAAGCATAATCATAAACAAAAGAGGCGAAAACTGAGAAAACACACACAATTCTGTTTTATATACACATTAGAAAATCAGTATTTATATAAAAGTTTCCTATTTTTTGTTGAGGTTGCTCTGTATGACTGATATAGTTGTGAAAAACCAAAATTAACCAAGAAACACGCATCTATTCTTTTTAAAGATGATTGTATCTTTTATGTCACAAAGTAAGGAAAAATAGTGAATCAAACCTGAAGAGATTAATTATGCCTGTTCATACTTTTGGGGGAATATAGACTATATGACACTGACTTATGAGTTTAATGTTGGATTATCAAAATGTATGGCAACGTATATTTTGGCATTCAAATGGACAAGTTACTGTATGTGAAGAAAAACTACATAGCTCAGTATAAGAATTCTATTCGACTGCACCATAACACAATATTTCTGATATGTGCTTTGTGCTAGATTGTGTGTTCATTATAATTTTCACAGGTATCATCATCATAACATCTTTGAAGATTTCTGTCTTCTGGGTTGTTGCTCTGTGTAGTCTGTTTCAGAGGTCATACTGCCTCCGTCATCAGGGCGATTTATCGCCCTGATGCCACAGACTTTCCAGTTTTTCATTTCTATACAAGAAAGCAATATACATCAGTTGTACAAAGTTACTTTCCTCATATTCATATGTAGAGTTTTTTGTGTTATACTGTTTAATTCACTAGAGCCTATATTACACAATATGTAGATGATATTAAAGAAATTAATATAGATCGTTTATATGTGAATACTTCTGAACAAAGAAATTTACTTTAAAACGTTGATAAATTCTGCCGAAATTCACTGCATGGAGCAGAGTCCTTCTAATATGTCATTTGAAAAAGAGGTCATTCATCTTTGTTAGGCTAAAACGGCCCATCCACGTACGAGTCTGACTTGCGAGTCTGGCTCGGATTATTTCACCACACACGCATAGCAGACTCGGCTCGTGACACCCCACCCACAAACGAGTTTGGTTCAATGGAACCCGAGCCGAGCCGGACTCGCGAGCCAGTCTCGTACGTGGATGGGCCGCTTAAGAGTTGGTCTATGTGAAACTCTTCTGTAATTACACATTATCTTCTGGGGAAATGTTCCAAGAATTCAAGCAATATTTACTGTAGAATAACATTCAAAAGACATGAGGAATGAGTCTGAATGGAACTTTCTGGCAGTATCTTCCCCAGTTATGACCATACTTCACAGCACACTTCTCCTCATCCCGGAATGTCCGATGGACAAGGAGACATGCCAGAAAGTTGAAATAGAGGAATGGCCACACTCCAAGTCCAAATCCTGGTAGACACCATGCAAGTGAAGCCAGAAGTTCAAATGTATAGTTTAAGTGCCGTGCAGAACCCCAGAAACCTGTAAAACATAATGTTTAGTTCTTAAAAAGTCTGCACATATATCACACAATCCTTATGTTAGACACTGTCCATTGTCTGATGAAAATTTGATACACGACATTTTCGGACCTGGCTCTACTCCCGTCTTCAGTAAATTGGTTGTCATGTGTTATTAATGGCAACGGTTTGAATCAAACCTGGGCCTCTCGAATGCAAGGCTAGACTAGACCACCAGGGTGACTTTACTTATGTTACATTTCCAGTGTTCATATTCTTTAGTAGAGGGAGTCATATGGAACTTAATCTATGTTTCGTTGAATGATGGCCTGTTATATTGTTCTGATACGTTCTGACACCGTCAGTTTTCTAATGATTCTCTTTTATTCTTTGTGTGGACATTTCTGCTGCTATGCTGTGCCTCTGAGATTACCAAACAAAAAATATTTACTTACCTGACAAGAGAAGCTTGGAGGTACGGACATTACCACTACTGTCTTTGTACTGTGCCTCTATGAAGCGGGCTGGCTTTCCCCACAGATTACATTTGCCATCTGGGGCTCTTCGGAACAGCTGTTTCTCGTAATCGACGCGATAGTTGAGGAGGATCGTGAAGAGGCCAAGAATCGCAATCAGTAGGGCTGTTGTGGTGGAGATGATGGGTGGATGTGCCACCAAGTAGTAGGAAGAGAATGTATACAGGCAGGGCACCCACACCAAACAACCCCAACAGATATAGTACCCGGCTCTGTCCAGGATGATATCCAGCGTGCTGAAGTAACCTGCCTCCCACCAGAAGAATTTGGCCACATACACTGACTGCATAACACATTTCGCAAGATTGAGGTTACATCTACATGAACATCAGGATGGCTTAGTTATTATTTTACTATGCTGTACCAACTGCTGAAATATTTTTGTTTAGTTAACAATTCTTTCTCAGCAACTTAGGTTATATTGCATGGAATGGTGCACAGTGAGAAGAGTGTGGTGTGATTATAACAAATCAAAATAACATTTATGAAGAGTTTTAAGATCAGACTAAATTTGAGAAATGCTAGATGCCGTGCTACTCAGAATCTTGCTTGCCACCAAAAAATATGAAAATTGAAACATAGAAAAATATAATTCTGTATGGGTGTGATACATGGTCACATTAATGCAAGTTTTCTGATATGACTGTCATAACATGTAAATAAGCAACTTAATTTTTCAGTGGCCTGATTTAAGAAAAACCTGGGAGAATAACATGAATTTGCAAACATATTCTGAAGCGTTCCGAAGATGCTCCAAAAACCCGACAATCCAGAAGGCACTTGCAGTTTATCTCACTCATTTCCCTGACAGTCTGCTCCCACCTGTAGCAGGAGGTTGACTAGAGTTGCGGCACTGAAGCCGTGACGCTGCACACCAGCAAGATAGAAAGCAAGGATAAGCAGTTGCCAGGCCATCATGCCAATGCGGCAGTTGGTGAGCTGCTTCACATCCATCCCGAGTATGTGGGGGTGACGCTCCAGTCCGGTATAGAACTCGTACAGCACTGGTCGTGTGGGGTATCTGTCATCACGATGCTCAGGTTTCAGCTTCCCCTTAAGCAATAGCAGGGTGCACAATGTGAGAGCAACCAAGTTCAGTGTGCCCAGTAGCTCGGGCATATTGCTGAAGATGGCACTAGAAAGGTCAGGCCACATCGCCTGCATGGTGAAGAACCCCACCAAACTTGCCCAGTAGTACAGCACTCCATTATCCTGAACAAAAAACAGTGTCAGTAGTACAACATTCAATATTTCTAAACAAAGTGAGAAAATCAACAATACAGCAACCCATTATTCTTATTCTGTAAGAAAAATAGGCCTATATTATCATGCTATAAATTTGGGATTTTCAATTTGGTGAGAAAAAATTTACATTGCGGCCTTCTGAGTTACATCACCATGTAGTCATGTATGTGGTTAGCAGCGGTTTATAGGAACCTGCTGTCTCCATATTGAGGGTATAACCCCACCAGATTCACCTTCCTCCACCCTTAGACACCTCCAAAACTGGCATATGCCATGGTAATTGATTACATGGTGTCGTCTACTCTGAAGTGGATAATCAGCATTAACTGCCTAAGATCTGTTGGACGGGAAGTCTATACGGCAGGAAAGTAGGCAGTTTTGTCCGGAACACCTAGCGTCATGGACCATAATCTGTCTTCTGTTTGTTTAAGAATGCTTTGTAAGTTGTCATTAATGTTTAGTCTTGCCGTAGGGCAGAGGTTCTCAAAGTGTGCCCCCCCCTGGGGGGCGTGTTGTTTGTATAAAAACCTTTTTTTAACGAAATATGGAGAAACATTTTATTGACCCTTTGCTTGGTTGAGGCAGTTTAGTTGTCTTACAGTGCTGTATACTCACAGCTAAATTTTATGTCAAATCTGTTTGCTTGCACTTGTTCTGGAAGGGGGCGTGAAAATTATGAAATGTTTTAAGGGGGGCGCAAGGTATAAAAGTTTGGGAACCTCTGCCGTAGGGTATACGGTTCAAAATACAACCATGAACACCGCTCAAAATACGAATTGTTCGTGAACGCGTGTTGACAGCCTGACGAGTTCCGTACGTCGGATGTCACTAATCAGAATTTACTTTGCCTATGAACCAACGACTGTTTCATCTGGAACGCAATGCTGCCACCTTCTCGGACCGCTTTCACTTGTTTGAGAATGCCTCCAGCTCTGGCCGCTAATACGTGTTTATCACAACGTCCACAGTTAATATGCTTTGTGCTGGATTTACGTATTTACATTACTTAAACAGGGATTGGACAATTCCCTATTCAGTCGCGGCGTTGATCAACCAGCCTGAACTAGACCCGGTGTTATCGTCCCTTGCACTGTACCTGATATGGAGGTCTGTAGCCGAAGAGTGTGGGAGGCCCGTGGACCTGACCTGCAGGAAGCTGCAGCCAGAGGATAGCCCACAACGAGAAGAGTGCTACACATCCCCAAGAGAAGCTGTTGCCCAACGCTTTGGAGGCTGCCAGGCGCCACGTTATGTTGATCTCTCCTTGTCCGACGAGGGCTAAGTACTGCACGGCTCCCGTGAAAACCACCATGAAAACCGGCGGTACAATGTGGTACCGGATCACGTCGTACCACTCCGGTGGCTTCATTATCTTGGTCTTCCTGAAACACACACACACACCGCTGCAGGTCAAGGCGATGAACGGCGCGAAAGATAATAAATTTTGATGAGAATACTTAAAGGAAAACGGCTACTTGAAAAAGAAACGACAAGGCACGATACGAACTTCGCGATGTCGCAGTTAGCACACCAGGAGTTCCCGGGTATGAATCATTATCCAAGAAGTGTCTATCCTGACCCACGTTTTCACCATTTTTCATAGTTCCTCTGTGAAAACGCTTAAAATAAGTCACGGTCGCTTCTTTCCACATTTTTCATTAATCTTCTCAAGTAGTATCTTCAATTAAGACGCAAGAGATACGGGGACAGGTGTGATCCACCTCTGTACCTATTGGGCTCGTGTTGGGATGCGAATAGATCGCCAGCTTGGAGGAACGACTCGCTTCAGGACAGCGCACGCCATCGTAATGTTAAAGCCTTGTTCATAGGCATGAAGACATCTTACTGTACACATTATGTGATATAATAAAGAATGTACGAATTTTTCGCATAAATTCAACAGTGTAACTTAGCAATTAGTCCCAGTTACAAACTTCAAACCGAAATGCTCAGTAGACTCCCTGCATTTAAATACATAAAAGCGAGGCTATCTTAGAGATGAGAGTGCGTCCGTCCGTCCGTGTGTCCGCATGCCTCGCCCCTGTGCCCATTTTGTGCAATAGAGTGAGCTCTGTCATTAGGGCGTCTGCATTTAAAACTGTTAAAACGAATTTCACACATTAGTATGTCACACAGTGCCACAAATATCACTTCTTGCGTTTCAATAAATGTATGTAAAATAAAAAATGTGTGAAAAGTCATGTATTTTGTTGAGATACATATTTTGTGTTACGTGTTATAATAAATTTTATAGGGACACCACCCAGAACTAATTTAAGCGTAGAGATACGAATTGTTGGTCTACACATTTCATACCGATGGGCCTGCTTATTTATTTATAAGATAGACCTAGGAGTGTGGGAGGACATCAAAATGAATCATAAAAATTAGTATAACAGGGTATTGGACTGAATTCATCCACTGGTGGGTTCTTATAAACACGGAAAAATATTTTCGGGTTGCATAGAAAGCATATAATTTCTTAACAACGTTTCAGAAAGGAGTCTGCTGTAAGGAGTAAGCAAGAAGATATTTAGTTCTGGCTTTTCCTTTACTTTTGGATGCCGTCCTGCGAGTATATCGTTGTGTGTATGTAAATCATAAACTTAGTTTAGAAGTTGTTTAGCGTTTCCAACTTAAATGTATCCCGAAACTTAAAAAAGAGTTCGCTGTTGTTGATCTGAACGAGTCAGAAAATTTCATTACGAATTATGACACGCTGCTGAACATAACACTTACCTCATTTCACAATTAGAGAATCAGGAGAATCCGATAACCAACTGTTCTAAACACGGTTTATTAACACCAGCAGAAGAGGGCATCAACGAACGTGTGCTGAGTGCTACCGACTCATAACATTCTACGATATTAGTGTTTCAATTTTTCTTACAAGATAAGCTCCAATAAGTTTTTTTGTTTAATCCTGGACTTTATACACTCAACAGGTGATATGATATCGTGTCTGAATTGTATTCTGCAGTTGTCCTTAGGCTAGTAATTTTTTCTAAAGTCTGTTACAGTGATTTAATTTAAAACCATTAAATTTTCTATGGACATGACAGCGATTGAATCTGTGCAACACAACTCTTTTGGACATTATCCATTAATTGGTATTTAAGAATTAACGTTTTCTACGCTTCTGAGACTGTATGCTTTCGATCTGTTTGTTCGTCAGTGGGAATAGAGGTAGTCATTATACGAGGTGCGATCGGAAAGTTTCAAGACTGCGCCTATAAAAACCCGTACACTTATCTCAGGTATTAAATTCATCCATCACCCTCGAAGTAGTTCCCC